GTTTGCCTGATAAAGGTAATGCACAGGTTCCGAAACATTGTTATACATGGTATATGACCTGTTACATGTAATAAAAGGATTTTGTTTTGAAGAACATTTGGAGTGCTGGTGACCATTCATCATCGGTTAAACACTTGGTGGTGCCATCCGCGGTCATTGCAACACCCCCCCCCCCCTCTAATGTTTGGGGTTTTCTTGGTCAGGAGTGCGGTGGGATCTCTCAATGGACTACACAAACACACAGGCACAGCAAGGCAAGCCACTCCTCTCCCCCCTACTCCTCCCTTCTCCAAACTAGTGGATGGTTGGATGGATGGAAGGGAGATCTTATAATGAAAAGGAAGTTCTTATACTGGACAGGGCTCCTCTGCCCTCAGTACCCTCTCCAGGACCTGGAAGTTCGGGGAAAGGGGAGTATCTTCCTGGTCCTGGCGGAGGAGGGGACTGACCGCAGGTAACTGTGGGGAGGTCAGGGCTTACAGGAAGGTACTGGGTGTTTTTTTACTTTAATGCAGAGAATTAATTAAGGTAAAGAACGCCTAGCCTTTAGTAATACTTTAATACTACTTTAAGGATTAAAAAGGCAACATTGTGAGTGGAAAATGAAACCCCCTAAATGTAACAACAACATAAAAAGAACACTGCACCTCTCAGTCCATGTGTACTCTTAAAAGTGTCCCGGTATAAACTTATTTTGCTCTTGTTAGCATGCATGGTTGCTTCTAGTGACAATTGTTTGAGTGCTGGGTGTCTGTTTTATTTTGTATTAATTTAATTTTTTTTTCTTCAAAAATCTCCCCTTCTCTAACCTGATCTGACCCCCCATGGATATTTGTAGCAGAAGATAACCTGTTACAGTGATTTTCAGCCATGAATAATCAAAGGTTTGCAGAGATCCATTAATGTGCAGGAGCCATCGACGACGATGAGTTTTACAGAATTTTTTAATATAAAGTATAGAGGTGAACTGCAAAACATGACAGGAAGCCGCATATCCCTTAATAGTATAATATTGGAGACAGGTGCCCTTGGTTTTACAAAGCATCAGGAAGTAAAAATTACAGCCAACAGCACAATTCTCTGTACACTACCAGATGATAGAACATTTCTGGGATTTATGACATTCCTCCCTCAGGCTGAATGTTATGACAGCATTAGTCTGCACCAGCTGCAAGAACCTTTTTCTTATATTTACTGTTGCTGTGAGCTGGTGAATTGATTGCATCAAATAAGACTATTTTCAGTTATTGGATGTTGAGCTCTATTAGATATATAGTGTGCAATATAATCTTTTTAGCTATGCAGAGGTTGTGATTTTCTGTTGAGTGATTTCTGTAGCAGTAAAACAAATGTTGGTTTGCTAATGTAGACCTGTCACCATAACGACATGTTCTATATGATGAAAATGTTAGTGGAACATAGCAATTCTATAGTTTAATCATTTACACCATTTTATCAAACTGACTGGCTATTTAAGTATAGGCTTTTGAAGCTAGCCCAACTGGGTCCCATTGGAAGAAAAATTTGAAACATTTCTGGTTAGAGGGGTTGTGTTTTAAAATATTAAAAACACACTCATCTTATTGCTAGCACCGTCGTTAGAGGCATGTGATTCCTTATTTCCTGTTTTTGCAGTTCTTGCAGTTTTTACAGATCTCCACCCCAGTTAATCACTGGGATCAAATATTGTTATTCTTGCCACTGGCAGTAATTATGATTATTTATTATTATTATTATACAGGATTTATATAACTCCACCAGTTTGCGCTTTACAATATAAGGAAGACATTACAATCACAATACAATTCATACAAGATGGTAAGAAGGGCATGTCCCTGAGGGCTTATTTATAATATAATCGTAGAGAGACAAGAGTGAAGTTGCAGAAACACCTTGCAATGTGTAGAAAGAACTTGGTCATAGATGGCAGCATTCAAATTCTTTAAGATCGGATTACAGTACATGAAACCTGTTCATTGTTTATTTGGACCTAAATCACAGGACGTTACGAAAATTAGTTTAACTGTACAGAAAATGATTGTAAATTAAACTAATTGGACCTTTGCAAGGATTCTTTTCTTCATCCTTGCTGCTCCATAGGTGCTCAGAGGTATGGAATTCAAGAATCTTGCAGCACAGTCAACAAATATCTTCAGCAGATGTCAGCAACTCAAGGGACATAATGATATCTAACTGAGCCCTAGATTTCTCTGCCTCCCAACATGTTTATGTAAAGTGGACCTTTAAAAAGGTGAAGATTTGCAATATCATAGGGAACAACCTCTAGAAATGTTAGGTGGGCCTATGAATTACTATAAAAAATACCTTTTGCTTTGAATTCCTCCTAAAAAAATACCAGTGCACTTCCTGTCCCTTCAGTCTAAAGCTGGGTATAGATTTTTGTTCACAATAATTTGTTTCCGGAACATTAGTTCGATCTTCTACCAGTTGATGGGTCAAATCAATGAGTTATTATGACCATAGTGGAAAAATAAATTGAAGTAGCAGGATATAAAGTTTTTCTCAAACGCAATTCTAACATAGAATATAGTTAAAATCAAAGGAGATTTCAAATCACATTCGTCAAGTCTTTCATGGCACATCAAATGTTCTGATAAGATTTCTCTTAAAAACATCCCAAAAAATTCTAACCATGTATACCCAGCTTTACAGCTGTATACAGTATCTGCGGTGTGAGAATATCTGAGGCACTGCTGCCTCTGATTGCTAGTCTTATGAGATCCAAAGTGAGGTTCGGTGATTTCACCACTATCAGTGACCAGGTAGAAAGAGGCAGTCGTCAAGGTCCACTGAACGACCAGTATAACATTTTAGTTACAAGCGACAGTGTAACTTTTAGTAAATGTACCCCATATTTGTAGATAATCATTCATAATCATGAATTAAAGCCTTGATGAGCAATCTGTCAGTTCTTAAATTTACCAGAAGGGCTGGTCCGTGAGGTCTCGGGCTGGCATTGCCCAGATTTTTAATGTACAGAGTTGCTCAATTTTAAGATGCAGTCCTTTAGGAAAATAGTAGAACTCATTGAAGAATGTATGCATGTTATATTTGATACGCAACAATGTCCTAAACTGGCACTTGGGTCAGTTCAGGAACTTTGTTTCTCTCTTAGCAAATATTACTCACACACAAGACACAAGAATAAACTATAATGCATTACATGCCAACACTACTCTTTGACCTCTGTCTATCTGTAATTGAATGAGATGCACACGAATCTGCACTTCTTTTTTTATTTGCAATTCGTTTGGGCATGTTGGAAAATTTGCATAATGAGTACCTTTGCCCCTGTATGTAGTAACTTGTGCTTTTTTTGTCTCCTAAACAATCCAGTCTTCATCTATATAGAGTCCCTATCTGATTCCCATGATCCATTTTACAGACTTTGTATTTTATTATTTAATGCATCAACTAGTAAGGTTAAATGTGGGTCAGCACAACGTCCACCTGAATTTTTATAACCTTTTTTAATCTTATATATATTATTCCCATAATGCTTAGCTGTTTAGTGGCTACATATTTATTTTACTTGCACTTTTATTCTGGGGAATGTTGTGTGGTTGTTAGACTTCAATAAACAGCACAGACCACAACGCCATATTCCCACGAGACGTTCTTTCTGGTTTATAAAACTCATGATGGTTTATTCAATTTGACTTTAATATATCACAGGAGAGTTAACCTTTAAATACTGGGTAAATCTTAGGCACACTCAGGAATGCTTTTTAGTTCCTATTTTGTACATGTTAATCTTGGAATGAAATATATCTGAATAAAATATAGATTTTTACATCATCGAAAGCATAATGTACAGCTTTCTGCACTGAGTGAAATTATGTTGAATTCTATATCCAGCTACATGTTGAATGTGTTTAATATTTATAAATATGTGTATTTTAATAACTTTTTATAGTAGTAGTGCATTTTCTAGGATCTTAAGATGGATAACATTGAACCATTCACACCAGTATTTGGACCATTGGAATCTACAGCAATGTTAATCATTCTAAAGCATGTTTTAGAACTCTATGCAAAGCCAGATTGCTAACCGCTTAGTTACTGAGATTTTTAATGCTGAGTAAAAGCACATCTCCGGGCAAACAAAAAACTTACCCTTGCATTGGGGCTGCCCACACAGTGCAAGTGTTAAGTGCTTGTTTATGCCTGGGGCTGTTATTAAAGCTGTTTTGCTTTCCTGATTCCGTCTCCCACCATCTCCATCGAAGCTTCTAGACCGGTCCCCACATCCTTTTCTCCCTTTCGCTCCAGTGGTCTAAAGACCACTGATGTCATCTGACAACCGCGAGAGCCGGGATCAGGTAAGTAAAACAGCTTTGAGTCCCCTAGAAAAAAAAGGAGCACTTAACCCTTGCAATGCAGGGGTAGCCCCACTGCAAGGGTTAGATTTTGCATTGTCTGGAGATGGGCTTTAAATATAATATTTAGCTATATGACATGCTGAATGCAGCATAGCAAACTACATTGGAGTTTAAAGTGCACTTGTGGCCCAAGCTGTGGTCATTCTGTTCTGTAGAAGCAGTACATGAGATTTAAAGCTGAAGTTTGATCTGCTTATATTTTGTCTTCCTTGGTTCTTCCTTTTTCCCCTCATCATCATACGAATTACATTTTTAAATCAAATCTTTCTGTTTTTATTGTATTTATATTTTTTAATTATATTATATATTTAATGTCAAATGCAATATTTAATTATTATAGGAAAATACAGTATTACTTGGTATGAATGGAGCCTTAACAACTTCACTTATAATGCTGAATTTATTAGTTCTACAATGATCTTTTCTCCTCAGACCTGAACTTTCCTTCAAATTCATGACACTGTGCAATTATTGTCTGGACTCATTTCCTATCTCAGTATACTATATATATATTTTCTTGGTGCATACTTACTTGATGTATTATGTCTTTATTCCAACATGTCAACAATCCCTCTGTTGTGCTTCTGTCTTTTGCAGCAAAGCTTGGAAATCAACCTCACCAGCCTCATCAAAAGAAACACAGAGATGGAAATGCTGCTAGCCAAGCTTATTCAGACATGCCAACATGTCGAGGTGAGTACGAATCTGTAATCACTTGTATCGCCTTGTCGTGTCATCTATAGTAAGATGATCTACACCTTGGATTACTGAAGTCTTACTTTTTGAAGAATTGTTTAGATCTTTGGAAACAATAGGGGATTTTGCTTGTTGATTCATGAAAGCGAATCCTTGTGAAAGTGTAACAGCACAACAGTAATTGTTTATGAAGCAGGTTTACACTTAGGTTTACCAAGATGTGTTTGTCTTGGTTGGTGAGCTCTCATGGGTCTGCTTTCAAAGGAACTACCTATTTCAAAATACTTTAGCCTAAAGCTGAACTTTATGCAGGTATAAAATACTATTGTTTAATGCTGTTATGCATTTCTAAAAAGTGGAAATACATTAATGTGTCTGTATTTCAGCTTTATAGCTTTCTGTGATCTATTAGATGGTAATGTTCAGATTAGGGAAGCGAGATGTAGCTCTGTGAGCCAATCAAAATCTTGCACACAGGAAGCGAGAACAAAGGGAACAAAGTTATTATATCATCAGTATAGTGAGGCCAGTCAGTCCTGGGCCTCTCAGCCGTCCATGACCAACCTGAATTGCTTAAGGTGACCACTCTCCCCAATAGCATATACTCACCTTTGCATTACTCCCACACCGCTTGATTGAGCTGTTGGGGGTGAAGTTAAAACTTTTCTAGACCTGGGGGAGCATGTGATTCACTCTCCAGTGACTCCAGGATGTATAGTACATAAAAAGCTATAGAAATTATCATTCTAAAATGTATATACAGTATAGCCAAAGCTGTTTTTCTTTGTCTTTGAATAAGAAAGGATTAAACCAGTCTGGTTTTTTTTTTATCCTGTCAAGTGTTTCATTGGGGACATTGCCCTATACTTCCTGTCTTGGAGATGCACCAGTAAGTAGGAGGAATTCTCTGCAAAGTTCTTACCAGAACAGGTGTCCCCATTGGAAGATTTACTCTGACCTCTTGGTCTGGTGACAACTGTAAAATTTGGATTTCTCATTGTTTTCTGTCTCAAAGTGGACATTTTCTCCAGGACAGTTAGAGAGAGTTAATCTACCTAGCACACTGTTTGTTGACTTTATAGGGCACCTCAAATGCGGCCCCTTTGATCTCCAAATGGCCACCTATAATATTTCTATGATGTGTAATGCTACTGAAGACTGTCATAGACTGAAGACTTGCTAGACGAAATAGTCTAAGACTGTTCTACAGGAGGGTTAGAGACTGAAGTCATGCTGTAGGAGATAGTCAGACATGTTACATGAATCTGTTAAAGATTAGCGTTATTAGTGCCCCTTTACAAATAATGCTCCTACTACTGACTGCTTGGGCCAGAAGGCCGCACTTCAAAAAACCAAAGGGCCTCATGAGGTCTTTAGGTCACAGGTTGGGTACCAAGGACCTAGCAGGTACTCAGACACCAAGAAAAACTTGACAGGAGCTCCAATTTAAATAAACAACGTTATCCATATCAAAGAATGGCCTAAACCGGACAAGTCTGGGATGTGGAAGAGAGCCAATTATTGGTTTTAAAGAAGTACTATTTGAAAACCGAATGTGAGATTATCAAGTCCAACAACTCCCAATGTACATAGTTACATAGTATTTGGGGTTGAATAAAGACATATGTCCATCAAGTCCAACCCATATAGGTCCACGCACCATCTCATTCTTAGGGATACTGGTATCCCTGGATATTACGGTCCCTCAAGAAATTGTCCAAACGTTTCTTGAACAAATCTACACTCTTGGCTGAAATCACTGCCGATGGCAGTGAGTTCCAGACCCTAACCGCTCTTACTGTAAAGAACCCTCTTCGCCCATTGTGCTGGAATTTTTTCTCCCAACTCTAGGTGGTGGCCTCTGTGAACAATATCGGACCCAGCACAGATCCTTGAGGCACACCGCACATTACACTAGTCCAGTCCGAAAAGGTGCCATTTACAGATACTCTATGGACACGTTCCCGTAGCCAGTTCTCTATCCACGTACACACCACCTCATCTATGCCCATAGCCCTCAGCTTGTGAAGTAAGCTCTTGTGTGGTACCGTATCAAATGCCTTTGTGCATACAGTGTACATACAGTATTTGTTAGCTTTGCAGTACATTCAGTCTCAGTATACAGATTGAGAGCTGAATTTGCTGAATGGAATCTTTTGTAGCATGTCAAAGCTTTCCGGTTCATTGTAATTGCACAGATTTAAAACTTTTCAACATAATCAAGTTTCCATGCATGTTTCTTAAATTTAATATACAAAGTATACATGTTGCTAGTTGCGGAAATTGGTTCCTCCTTGGGATTACTTTCATCAACTCTCCTCTTTAATGATTTTTATTCTGGACGTTTAGACTTCTTACGGGTACGAGGCACTTGGCTTCTTATACATCTGCTTTTACTTTCCTGATAAACTATCACAGGAATATAAGCCGAACATGAAAATCTGAGAAAATCACTTTTCCTCTGCATTAAAGTGTTTAGAGGCATTGCTTTGAAGTGGCTGTTTTTCTTTTCTTTTTCCTTTTCTTTTGCATCCTTAGAAAACTTGACAGATACTGTCTAATTAGAAGTTTGACGGAACTTGATCAAAGTGCAGGCTCAGAGCGCCTGTGTTACCTGACATATGTGGAAGTGCTGACATTTTAATAGAAAGCCGAGATGTGATTAGAGACAAAAGCTTATTTTTATTTCACAACCCAACTCCCTTTGTGTGGCTGTAGAGTGTTTGTATTGCAGAGCTGTTTGGAAATAGACTTCATTTTTGAGTCATCTCTGCAAAATCGTAGCCAGGCATCTGTCAAAACAGGTGTGCTCAAATGCAAGTCAATTTGCATTTTAAAGTAAAACTGTTACAGATCTGAATCATTTAAACTAAGCATAAAATGAACAAATACATAAACAGAGGTTACCATGTGCATATCACAGCAAAGAAAATGCAATGATGTAGGCCACTGAAATGATATGCCGATCTGAATTTTTCTGAACAAAGTCCAAACCTGTTCATGATCATCAAGCTTCCCTATTGGTAAGTGCAGTCCGTTATCATATTAAAGTATAATTAAAGCCTCTGGTTTTCTTGCATATATCCACTGCTAGCAAGATGAAGATATATGCTAAAGGTGTAAAAAAAAAAAAACTATTTAAAAGAGGTCTTACTTACCTGTGTCTTCCCCACGCATTCCTGTCCGAAAATGTGAAAATTCTCAGGCGGCCGCAAAGCATCTTGGGGCGGAGTCCACCTTTTCGGCCGGGAGACGAGGAGAGACACAAGGTAAGTCTATGGACGTGTGCACCCGCATGCAGACACCGTGGGACAGAAAGTGCTAGCAAGGACAGAGAAGTCTGCGCTGGATCGGAGACCCGTAGCAGCACAGGAGGGACAGATGAAAACGCCAGGAAAGAAGAAGAAGATCGGATTAAGAAACATAATTTAAGGTAAGTGCTTTAATTAACATTGGGGGGAGGGAAAATTTTTTTTTGACTTTAATGTCACTTTAAAGTAACCAATGGAAAGACTTGTAGAGTGACAGGGGCAGGGTCAAAATCACGTGTATGTTCCTGAATTATCTACTACTGTACATCATGCTGACTGAGAGTATTACTTACAAAGAGCAGAAATGGGTCCTACTGTAGAAGAAGAACACATGCCAAGTCTTGAATGCATGGATGACATTCAGAGACATTCCCATTTGTAGTGAGGCTTATAGTTCTATTTGGATTCACCCTTGTGGCTATGCCTCCTGCAGTCCTGTTAATTTTTCATTTAAATTGTTACCAGAGGAGTCTCTGCGGCGTCTCAGTATACCGCGAGCTGTAGCTCGCGGTATACTGAGCTTAGGGTAACGGGAGGACGCTAGTTTGTGTCCTCCCGTTACCCTAAGGAGAACTATGGGGGAAAACACTGACCCCATAGTTCTCCTTTAAGTATTCAGCTGTGGTGTGAGAGCAAAAGAGGAGTGGAGTTGGTGTTCAGGTGTGGTGATGAGAGCAGTGAGTGCAGGATGAGTGTTCAGAGTGGAGGGACATGCAGGTGCAGTAGTAATGGGGGGGGGGGATTCCTGCAGGCAAAATATTGACAGTAAGCGGGCACACAGCAGTTCCCACACAGCCTTGTGTATCCAACATTCCAGTTTCTCCTGCAGCTAACAAAGTCTACACCAACACCTCAGCACTGCCCCATGCCTTCCTGGCAGCAGCTGCTAGACCAAGCAGGGGGCTGAGGTGACTGAGTGGCGGCCCTGAGCGTTGTATACAGGGCTGCTGGGAGAAGGTGAGAAAGCTTAAGCAGAAGGTGCTGCCGGTGGGCATCTGGTAGCTGCTCCCTGCAGGAACCTGTTGCAGTAGGGTGAGGATGCTCTCCGCACACCTTTCAGCAATCCCGGCCAGTACACAAGTATGGTGCTTGTAGTAACTCCACGTATGGCACCGTGCAAAACGAACAGTTGAAGAAATAGGTCACCAGCACTCAAAGAGTTTAAAAATGAATAAGTCCTTTTTATTGGACCATGGTGTCACGAGACGTTTCGGGGCCACGCAGGGTCCCTTTCTCAAGGCAGAAAATGTGACCCTGCAGGAACCTGACATTGCCATCATTGAGGGGGTCATGGCAGCATTGGAAACCAGGGGACAGGTCATAAGTTGTCAGGAGGCAGCTGCAGTTTGGTGAGGGAGAGCAGCAGAGAATGCTGTCTGCAGGAGTATGAAGGGTGGCAGTGATTTAACAGCTACTGTGGGTGGCTTGATGAGGCAGTATTCTATGTATGCTTTGGTAAGTCACATATTTATGACCGCTTTTTCCTGCTGCTGCCCACACCATTGCAACTTACTTTATTAGTATCTAAAAATAAAATTTTGCATTAAACGGCACACAATCTGTTATCTATACCTATCTCTACTACTTACCATTAAGGGGGAAACTAAAATGCCATTTTTACTTCCTGAATTCTTCTTTTATAATAAGCATAGGATACAGGGAATGTTCAATCCGTTGAAGGATTTG